CATTCGACATTCTACATTCTACATTCTACATTCTACATTCTATGTTGTACATTCTACATTTTACATTCTTCATTCTACATTCTACATTCTAAATTCTACATTCTATGTTGTACATTCTACATTCTACATTTTACATTCTTTATTCTACATTCTACATTCTACATTCTATGTTGCACATTTTACATTCTTCATTCTACATTCTACATTCTAAATTCTACATTCTATGTTGTACATTCTCATTCTACATTTTACATTCTTTATTCTACATTCTACATTCTACATTCTATGTTGCACATTTTACATTCTACATTCTTCATTCTACATTCTACATTCTACATTCTACATTCTACATTCTACATACTACATTCTACATTCTACATACTACATTCTACTTTCTACATTCTAAATTCGACTTTCGACATTCTTCATTTTACATTCTACATTCTTTATTCTACACATTCTTCATTTTACATTCTACATTCTAAATTCTACATTCTACGAATTTACATTCTTCAGTTTATATTCTACATTCTACGTTATTCATTCTACATTCTACATTCTTCATTCTTCATTCTTCATTCTTCATTCTTCATTCTTTATTCTTCATTCTTCATTCTTCATTCTTCATTCTACATTCTACATTCTACATTCTACATTATGCATTCTACATTCCAAACTCTACATTCTACCGTCATAAACAGAAAACTCTGGAATAGGAAGACGACTTTCAGACTCTATTTATGACTTTAGACAATGCAATGAACATAAGAGACAACACAATTGTGCGGTGTAAAAGGCCCAAATGACTTAACAACTGATTTTATAATTAACTTGAAAAAATATTTGCTTTGTAACCCCATCAAATACTATCTATTATTGCCTTAATGTCGACATCCTATTCTACATTTTTCTGGTTATTACTGTACAATCTACATTATTCATACTTTATTCTACATTATATGAATATACACTTTACATTCGACAATTCGACATTCTACATTCTACATTCTATACGTTCTACATTCTCCATTCTACATTCTATATATTCTACATTCTAAATTCTACATTCTACATTTTATGAATTTACATTCTTCAGTTTACAACATTCAGATCGAAATCCTGGAATGTAAATTTCTCTCTAGAATTGGAAGAAGTGAGTCTAGACATGAAATTCTTTAATTTTGTAAAGTTTATGAACTGGCCTGCTCATAGTTTAGGCCAGGTTTAGGCTTTCAAAATAAATTAATAAATTAGGGAATTTTTTTTGGAGTGGGGGGGGGGGGTAAAGAAACAGACTTTGAAATAACTATTTTTTTTACAGATAAACACTTGCCTTAAACTGCAATTATCTATTCTTATAATTTTGCAACCTGAGGTGGAAAATCTTTTAATGTGGGTATCAAGATCAATGCTGGTATCGATCTTTTGTTAATTTACAGATTAATTTAATCTCTATTTGATATCCCTTGAAGGGCCCATCAGATATTCCGTTAACAGCCAATCAGAAGCCTGGGAAGTTTGCATTCAGCCGATGAGTAAACAGAGAAAGTACGGATATCCAAAGTGAAACGATCAAGCAGATTCTGCTTAAAATTCAAAAGTGTGGATATCAAGACCAAGGGATCTAGATTAAGGGTTTATAACGCAAAAGTTCCCAGCTCTACGAACTATGCTACATCTACATTTAAATATTTGAAATAACCAAGGCAATCTTTCAAAAAAAATCCATTTTTTGTACAATTTAATTTTTTTATATTTTTTGCATTAAATAAACAGCTTTAATTACACAATTTCATAATTTTTTCATAAAAATGAATTAAAGAAGTTTTTATAAAAAATAAGTTGCATGACTTCATGAAATATAAGACTTAATGCCAAACCTAAAGGAAAAAAGATGGTTTACTATTAAATAAAGAACATTTGTTTTTAAATTTTCTTTTTGGTGTGGGGGGTGATGGGGTAACATCTTAAATTTTGATAATTCGTTTGAGCTCACAAAATAGATCTTTGTTGAAATCTTTTCCGGCCGATTAAACAGAAAAATCTGCAAAAAAATTTCAGTTTATTTTACGGAAAAAATGCTTGCCTAACATATTAGAGATAAAGTAACATTTAAAACCTGAAATTCCAACAGAAATAGGAGAACAAAAATAAGTTATAAAGAGGTCTTAAGTTTTTAAACTGAGAAAGGTTATTTGATTAGAATGAATATATATATATATATATCAGTTGAAACGCAACAATCTTCTTATAACATTTTATTCATATATATATATATATACTGTCCACTATCCCTCCTAATTGTCCAGGTGAAAGCTAGAATAATATTACGGTCAACTTCAAGTTCAAGTATTTCTTCTATTAATAAACAAGAACTGCATCTAGCTACTTCATTCCGCAACATCTAGTCTCAGCAGACACAGTTAACTCTTAGTATTTAATTGATAGTTTATAGATGATATTTTTATAGATTAATTTCTGAATTTATTTTGAAGTTCCTTGATCTTTGACCTTAATTTAAAGTGACTCTTTATTTTTTAATTCTGGATCTGAAAAAGGTTTTAAAGGGACTGTTTTACCCTAGACTAACTAGTTTTTTAACATATCTTCTTGTTTCCTTTCTTAAATTAAAACGCATCCACCGACAAAAAAAAAAATATGAGAAAAGAAAAATTATCAAACTGTGATCAAAATTCGAAAGTCACATCTTACAAATGGAGGGTTTGTTTAAATCAAGTCTCCGGACTTTTTAAGTTTTAAATTATGCTTTTATTTTTTATAATTCAATCTTTAATAAGTTGTTATTGTGAACTGCATTGTCTTTATGTCATTAGGATTATTTTTATCTTTTTTAATTTGGTAATTTTTGTACCCTGTTGTTTTTTGCAAAAAAGTTTTTTTAATTCGGTCTTTTATACTTTGATCTTTTGAAATTATTTTGACGTTCCCTTACCAAACCTTTTGAGAGGTGGGTCTCTGATGAGAATGCTTCTAAGAAACGGTTAAAAAGTTCCTCTTCTCCTACACAGCCCGTCTTTATTGTTTAATAAAAAATATAAATTTCTCTCCAACAAACATATTAAAAATGAACAGAGTAAAACTTCTAGCTTTCACGTAACATTCAAGTGTAGTTAAAAAAAGAAAACAATTCTGAAACATAGTGGGGATCTTAACATTTCTATTCCGTATATCTTTGCAACCAGCTGATAACTGCAACCAGACCATGACTTAATGATCTTTTAAAATTGATATTTAGAAATATCAAGATTTATGACATCAGATTGCAAAGATATTAATATGTGTTAAATTTAAACACTTCCTAACTAAATTTACAATATAACAAATAAATAATAAACATTTTAATAAGATAGAAGACAAAGGAATTGAGGTTTTGCCACAAACTTAGATTTGTACTCCTTATATCTTTGCAACCCTATACCTTTGATATTTCAAACTTAAGTTAGATGAAATATTGTGAGTTAGAAATATCAAAGGTCTAAACCATCAAGTTGCAAAGATATAGGAATTCAAATATTTGAGTTTGTGGCCAAAAACTCAATTCCTTTGTCAGTGACCCTCCAATTGAAACTAACAGTGAGATACTGCAGTAATTGTCAATAATGGAGGTTTTATCAGTATGTGCCTCCGTATAAAGAGTAATAATGTAGGTTTTATCAGTATGTGCCTCCGTATAAAGAGTGGAATAATGGAGGTTTTATCAGTATGTACCTCCGTATAAAGAGTGCAATAATGGAGGTTTTATCAGTATGTGCCTCCGTATAAAGAGTGGAATAATGGAGGTTTTATCAGTATGTACCTCCGTATAAAGAGTGCAATAATGGAGGTTTTATCAGTATGTGCCTCCGTATAAAGAGTAATAATGGAGGTTTTATCAGTATGTGCCTCCGTATAAAGAGTGGAATAATGGAGGTTTTATCAGTATGTGTCTCCGCATAAAGAGTAATAATGGAGGTTTTATCAGTATGTGCCTCCATATAAAGAGTAATAATGGAGGTTTTATCAGTATGTGCCTCCGTATAAAGAGTGGCATGTCCGATTCAAGAAATAATCTAATTAAGGTTTCAGCAACTTTTCAAACATTGTAAGATATTTCAGACGACTGTTATACAAATTGTTTCGTTGCAAGTTGTATTTTTTCACTAACTCAATTTTAATTATAGAAACTTTTAATAATTTAATAATTTCAGAAGAATGAAGGTTCAAGGGTTTCTTCTTTTTCTTGTTTTCTCCGTAGCATCTGCAAACCCTAGGTATTTTGGATGCTCAGCACCACATATAATTAACCCTATTCCGACTGGGAGGGGAAGGTCATATGCCCTCCCCCCCTTACAGTTTTTTTTGCAAGAACTCCAAAAGTTTTGGAGCGAGGTGTCTCAAATTTTCTGGCTTTTAAAACAAATACATTACCGTCATTTAAGGCTAAAACCTGGGACTTTGTACTTACTACCTGAGTCCTCTTAAATAAATATTAAAAAATAGCCCAGTACTACCTTATATACTAGCAAATACGAAAGATTTACATTTATCGGGAAAAAATGGGTTCTAAAGTTAAGATATGCTGAATTTCAAACCATAACCTTTAATTATCGTTTATCTACTTGGCTGGCTACTGGCTTTTTTAAATATCTAAACATAGGAGGGGTGGGTCTACCTTGCATTTTCCTGTGATTTTCCCAAAAGGCCTTTGGAAGATTGGAATCGCCCTGCCCAGAATTATAATTGGTTTAATCAATAAATATTTTATCATATTTGTAGAGGAGTGAGGTCTACCTGCGACGAAGTGCTGAATGTGTACGATGCATGTGTACACTGTTCACCAAATAGACCGCCAGGTTAAAAGTTGTGTCACAAGATTAGAATTAATTTTGGTGTATTAAAAATGGTTAAGGGAATCTTGTACATATTTTTTTCAAATCAAAAAGTCTGTGTGACATATAGAATAATGACTTTAAAGTTTTTAGTTTCAATCTTGAAAATAAGAAGAAAAAATGGTGGAAAAAGTATAAAATCCGCCAATATTTTGGGGGAAATCCGCAAAAAAACTTATTAGTGTACACTTTTGATGTGAACAAGTCAGTTCATTCTCCTTGTTCCAAATTCAAAAAAGAAATAGTTATGTCGGAAGATAAGTTGGATTTGTGTCATGTATGTTGTTGCTGTTGGGAGAAGTTCGGTGTAAACAGTAAATCTCTCAGAAATGTGAACTCTACAGTAGAGGACTTGATGAAACTCTACATATTCCCAGGGTTTCCTACAGATATTGAAGATTATCCTACGACCATATGCTCTAATTGTCACAGAAATCTATTTTTGTTGAAGTCTGGAAAGAGTTCAAGGAATGCCTGGGGTGAGAAGGTTTCTAAGGTATGTTTTGGATTTCATGTGATATTGTATTATATTTATTATATTTATCAATTTTCTTCTCAAATACTTTCATAATGATCGATGAAACTAAACAAATATATCAAAAATTCATGTTTAAAGATCGATTGGACTCAGAAGACAAGGAGAATGCCTGTTCTTAAGAGAAAATCAACAGATGAAATTCCTTCTGAATCTCTCAATCCTCATCTCTGTCCTTCATGTTTCACTAGGAAAGGAGCTGGAATACAGCATAAGTGTGGAAAAGAAGTGGCAGGATGTAATCTTCTGTTTCTAGCTCTAGCTCTTGGATCTCTTCAAGCGGAGAAAGTTGCAGCTGGAATTCTCCGTAATAAGATGGAAACTGAAGGATTAGCAGATGGATCAGAGTTCTATATTTCCACTGGAGGAAATCCTCTTCATGTTAAAGTCGGAACTCCAGATAATAATACAGCTAGAAGAACTGTGAATCAGATCGCTGTACAAATCATCAAACAGTTACAGATAGTCTTGGAGCTTTCTCTCAATAGAACAAAACAGATGATGGCTGTTCTACGAAAAGGAATGGGTACGGCCACTGCAATAGAATCAAATATATTTGGAAAACTACAACAGATAGAAGACACAATTACAGGATTTTACCAAGTTCAGAAGGTATATAATTATTAAAAACTAATCTGGAAAATCCTTTTATCTAAACCCATGCTTACGAGATTTAGAGGGTAAATGTGTTTTTTCCCATCTCTAGTTCTTTGCAACCCAATGGTTTATCAAATAATTTTTAAATATATCAAAGGTTTAAAATAGTATGATTTTACATCAGGTTACAAAAATATAGGGATTCAAAAATTTGAATTTGTAGCAAAGATTCAACTCCTTTGTTCACATTTTTAAATTTAAAAAAACTTTAAATTTCAATGATCCTTCCAGAATATTTGTATTTTAGTATATTATCAACCTTGTTAAATTAAGAATTTAAATGAACAATAACGTACAGTTATAACCAGAAACTTCTGAAATAGTTAGAAGACTTTTTGACATAAGTTATGATTTAATATTCAAATGAACATAAGACACAGCAATTGTGCAGTTTAAACAGACCAATATCACTATATAGGGGATTTTATATTTTACTAGTAAAACTATTTGCTTTATAACAACATCATTTACACTTTCTATTCCACAGTTTTCTGGTTATCACTGTAGGAAAAAAGGTAAACACTGAATCTATTATAGCAAGGTTTTCTTTCTAATCTGAAATCTTGTGGAATATTATTCCAGGTTCTTTAAACTATACTAAATGTAACTATCCTACTCATAGGTGCAGTTTAAGAGCTCTGCAGATTCGATCCTTTCAAGAGATCTAGTTTTTGTTCAAGACACATCTTCTTTCATTATGCATCTTATCTCAGAACGCCACCTGGATCCATTTCATACCTTGGTTAGAATTTCTATTGATGCAGGAGGATCTTTTCTTAAAGTAATTGTAAATGTTTTTGAACCAAATAGTGAATCTGGAAAGTTTCTGAACAGTGGAGTTCAAAGATGTCAGATACTTGCAATAACAGAAGATGTTCCAGAATCAAATTTTAATCTAAGAACAATCTTAGATAATCTGAATCTCCAAGATGTTGTCTTTAGTTTAGCATTTGATTTAAAATGTGCCAATGCTATCTTTGGGTTATCTTCACATGCTGGGAAACGAGCCTGCCTTTGGTGTGAAGGATTGGCAACTTCTGAACCTGGAGAACTGAGATCTCTGGAAAGTTTAGATTACTGGTATAATGAGTATTCAAAGAATGGTCATGATAAGACAAAGATGAAAGACTGTATGAATGTGATAAATCCAAGAATTTTGTATAAAGATGAAGATCCAAAATCCCTTCTTCAAGACTTAGTTCCACCCCCTGAGCTCCATTTACTGATAGGTTTTGTATCCTTGCTGGGAGTAAGTCTTATGGATCTATGGCCGGGTTTTGATGATTGGCTTAAGTCAAAAAACATCCTACAGAGAGGATATCAGGGACGTGGATGGGATGGTAATAACAGTAATACAATTCTTAAGCACTTAGATACCCTTGAAGAAGAAGTTAGAAAGACAGTTCCTCATCTTATTCAGTTTATTGAATGTCTAAAACACTTTAGAGAAATTAAAAGTGCATGTTTTGGAAACACACTGGAGCCAGGAATTAAAAAAATGTTTGTTAATCTAAAAAACTCGTTTCTTTCTCTCCAGGAACTCTGTGAAAACAAAGGAAAAAAATTATCATTAACATGGAAAGTTCATATTCTCCTGTGCCACGTTGAGCCTTTTGTATTATCTCATCAATGTGGTTTGGGTAGATATGCTGAACAGGTTGGAGAATCAATTCATGCTAAATTCAAACCAACTTGGTCAAGATATAACAGGTCAGAAGGGCATACAGAACATGGAGATAAACTGCTGTCAGCTGTAAAACAGTTTGGAGGAAGAAGAATCAATTAACTCGATAATTTGTAACCTAAACAGCCACTATTTAATATTTAAATATACAATTTTAACATATTTTGATATTTTATGTAACCATAATTTGACCAACTTTTCAAAGAAAATCCGCGAAATTTAAAAATGTTTTTTTTTTGCATGTCACACGGAATTTTAGATTTTAAAAATCATTTAAAATGACTTTCATAACCATTAGGAATAAATAAAAATAAATTTTGATCTTGTGACACAACTTTTAGCCTGGCGGTCTATTTGGTGAACAGTGTGTAGTGTAGGAAAAGCAAGTAATTTTACTAGAAACTTTTAAAATCAATTATTAAGTGAATTGGGCCTTTTTACATCGCACAATTGTGGTGTCTCATGTTAATTCCTTTATTGAAAGTCAGAAAGTGAGGCTAAAAGTCGTCTTCATATTCCAGAGTTTTCTGGTTATCACTGTAGGTTTACTTGAATTTAGGGATGCCGCGAAGTTTTGAAACCGGTAAGTTACGTATAGTGATCAAACGAAAGTTTTTGAAAATTATCGAAACGTTCCGTTTTCAAACAAAAGTTTTGAAAATTGATGAATAGTTCTGTAAACGAACGAAATTAAAGAAAGTTTATAAATATTAATGAAAAGTTTTGTAAACAATATTGTATATATATATATTGTATATTGTAAACAATAAAAGTCATTAGTTAACCCTATCACGTGGGCTTGATGGGGGGGGGGGTTCCACCCTTTCTGTGATTTTTTCTCAATAAATAACTTGCCCAGAACGCTCGAACTTATTAACTTTTCCAATTTTATAATTGAGAACAATTTTTGAAAATGTTAGTGAACAGTTCGGTTAAAAAGTTTGTCTATGTTAAGAAAAAACGTTGTCAAAAACTTTTTAATTTTGATCTACAGACCTAAAATTTACATTTGAAACGTCCGGATATCAGAAAAATTAATGTTTCATATTAATCAAACATTCGGCGTACTTTTAGAACGTTTATCTTATAACCTTCCTAGTTAAAAGGAGGTGTTTAAAAATGTTTAGAAAAGATTATCCTAAAAATCAATGCACGATGAAAATCTATAGATAGATAGATAGATAGATAGATAGATAGATAGATAGATAGATAGATAGATAGATAGATAGATAGATAGATAGATAGATAGATAAATAGATAATAGATAGATAGATAAATAGATAGATAGATAGATAGATAGATAGAAAGTTATATAAATGTGTTTTTGGTTGATGTTTTCAGTAAGAGTATTATTATTTATTCTGGGAAATTTTCTTGTTAATTATCTTCTCTAAAGTAAAAAAGAAAATTAAAAAAAGCAACTTTCTAAATTCAATTCCCCAAAACAAAATTATAACGAAACAGAATGAACAAAAATTTATCTGTTTCTGTGTGAAAACAAAATTAGAACGAAACAGAATAAACAAACGTTTATCTGTTTCTGTGTGAAAACAAAACTAGAACGAAACAAAATAGACAAAAATTTATCTGTTTCTGCAGTGAAAACAAAATAATTGTCAAATTTTAAAGGAATTATGTCACAAACCCTAATCCTAATTCCTATATCTTTGCAACACAATGTCGTAGATATTTTACACTGTGAGTTCATGTTAGATCAAATAAAATCTAAGTTAAAAATTTCTAATTTTTTCACAGTTTAATCAGACCTGAAAACTGTGGACACTTTTGATTTGTGCTTAATCCGCTATCTTCCCTCTTTTTGGATATCCCTACTGGAATCCAACCAATGGGAGTTCTCGCATAAAATGGCGCGTAAAATTTCATATTTACCGGCTTCTGATTGGCTGTTCGTGATTCTGCAATCTGCATACACCACTCCGGTTGGTTGAATTTAAGAACCTGTCTTTTATACAAACTAAAGATTAAAATATTCTTAAGATTAACAAAAAGAGGAGATCAAGCATTGATCTTGCTTTCCACAATTTTAAAGTTTTCAGCTATGAGGTTAAAAAGATATTGGGATTAGCAAATTTGACTTTGTGGCACAGACTCGATAAAAATTTGCGTTTGTTATCTTGTTCGCCGGTTTTTGTTTTATTTCTGAAGGAAAAAGGCTCATTAAAGTCAACACATTTCAAGTGAAAGCTTTCATGAATGAAGAAAAAACACCCAACCCCAACTTCTTCCAGCGCTAAGTAGAGAGAGTAAAAAAAAACTCAACACAGCCCCCCCCCATACACCCACGCAACTACCCGTGCAATTTCCAGCAGAAGGTTAAACAAATAAAAAGAATTGTTTCAACTTTCCTTTTAATTTGAAAACAAGCAAAATACTAAAATTGTTACAATATGAAACTGTCCCGCTTAGGGCTGGGGAGTGGGGGTAGTTTACAGGCATTTTTTTCAATTAACAAATGGGATTTTATATATTAACGGACGGGGTTATATATATTAACGGACGGGATTATATATATTAACGGACGGGATTATATATATTAACGGACGGGATTATATATATTAACGGATGGGAATTTATACATTAACGGACGGGATTATATATATTAACGGACGGGATTATATATACGTAAGAGAGGTTTTGTTGTGATGAACAAGCAAATCACTCCAATTTAGGTTAATTCCCCTTCCTGCTTGGCTTTATTTATATACTAAATTAAAAACACGACATTTTAAAAGTGGTTTTTCTTATCGCCCTTGATTTGTTTCATGCTATGTAAATAATATTGTTATTTTAGTCTGAACAGGTTAGAATAAGTGTACGTTTTTATCGAGCAGAAACCCAGAATTTTAATGTATATTTTGTAGTGGGTTTAATATAATGTATTTTGTAGTGCAAAGACTGAACGCCAGGGTTAAATAATGTATATTTTGTAGTGCACGAACTGAACACCAGGGTTGAATATAATGTATATTTTGTAGTGCACGAACTGAACACTAGGGTTGAATATAATAAATATTTTGAAGTGCACGAACTGAACACCAGGGTTGAATATAATGTTTATTTTGTAGTGCACGAACTGAACACCAGGGTTAAATAATGTATATTTTGTAGTGCACAAACTGAACACCAGGGTTGAATATAATGTTTATTTTGTAGTGCACGAACTGAACACCAGGGTTAAATAATGTATATTTTGTAGTGCACGAACTGAACACCAGGGATAAATATAATGTATATTTTGAAGTGCACAGACTGAACACCAGGGTTGAATATATTGTAACTGAGCACCAGGGTTGAATATATTGTATATTTTGTAGTGCACGAACTGAACACCAGGGTTGAAAATAATGTATATTTTGTAGTGCACAGACTGAACACCAGGGTTAAATAATGTATATTTTATAATGCGCGAACTAAACACCAGGGTTAAATAATGTATATTTTGAAGTGCACAGACTGAACACCAGGGTTGAAAATAATGTATATTTTGTAGTGCACAGACTGAACACCAGGGTTAAATAATGTATATTTTATAATGGGCGAACTGAACACATGCAAGAACTAAACACCAGGGTTGAATATAATGTATATTTTGTAGTGCACAGACTGAACACCAGGGTTAAATAATGTTTATTTTATAATGCGCGAACTAAACACCAGGGTTAAATAATGTATATTTTGAAGTGCACGAACTGAACACCAGGGTTGAATAATGTATATTTTATATGCACAGACTGAACACCAGGGTTGAATATAATGTATATTTTGTAGTGCACTAACTGAACACCAGGGTTAAATATAATTCATATTTTGTAGTGCACAGACTGACAGGGTTAAATATATTGTATATTTTATAGTGCACGAACTGAACACCAGGGTTGAATATATTGTATATTTTATAGTGCACGAACTGAACACCAGGGTTGAATATAGTATATTTTGTAGTGCACGAACTGAACACCAAGATGCTCTAGCTGAAGATGATGGAAAGCCTGACTTGTACTCACGCAAGTCTTGTAACTACCTAGAACAAGCTGTTGGGGTAAACAATAATTACAGGATTAAATGAAAAAAAGAAAAAACAGCAAAGTTGCAGAAGCGAAAATATTTCTTAAAAATTTCTTCTAGTTAATTGTTAAATGATTCTTTAAAGAATATAAATATGTTCGATTCTAATAGAGCAAAAAATGACATTTAAGACTAAAACATTTGTCAGCAATAGTCCATCAATAATAAAAAAAATGTAATCCTTCTGAATAGGAATAAAGAAAACTTTCCGTGTTCAATAATAATATAAATGCAATAAAGATGTGTAGAAAATGAAACCATAAGAAACAAAAACAACTATTTTTTCACCTGGTCTGGGTTTGATCTTTAATTATCATACAGTGAAACCCTCAATAACGAATACATCGGAAGAATTTATCAAATGTCGTCTTGGCAATTTTTCAATGAGTTTTATACTATATTACGTAAATTTCAGTATTTGTGAAAATAAATGAATAGCCATGAATATGGGGGAACAGTTTTAAAGAGTTCCATATAATCATTTAATTACAAAACTAAATATCTGCAACATTCCATTACCAGAAATTGAAGAATACGACATTTGATGAATTCTTTCTGTATTCGTTATTAAGGGTTTCCCTGTATGATGTTGAGATTTTTTTTTTGGTTATTTATATACCAATTGAAGCAAGGAACTTAAATGACCTAAGAACGATAAAGACATGAGATAATTATAAAAATTTCTCCTTAATCTCAGATTGCCACAATATAGGCAGTTTTATATGCCATGCAGGATCATTGTTACTTAAAATTGGGCTTTTTTCATTTCTTTAGTTCATTATTTGTAAATTATGTTCATGTTTTTTTTCAATCGTTAAAAAATTGGTTTCGTTTATTGGTTTAGAAATAGTTCAACCAGTTCTAAATCATTTTTTTTTGTTCGCTTTTAAGAAACATTTTTTATATCTGAGCGATCCAAATCATTTGTCCATCGTTTTTCAAAAATTAACGGAAGAGTCCATTAATGAATGGAACAGTTTTTTTAAAGGTAAATTTTCTCTGCTTAAAATTGCATTAAACTTGTAAAAAAAATTATAGGTGTTTTGATGTTTTTAAATGCCGTTTTCTGAATTTTGATAAAAAATTCGAATTATGTCCAACTAGTGTCAATGACGAAATTAACAAACCGTTAACACCGTTAATTCTACCAAAGATGGTTAACGATTTTTAACTGTTAAAAAATTTTTTTTGTGCTTCTGCGCTTTTAATACTAAATAGACCATCAACGGATGCGCCGTTAACAATTTTTTAACCGTTAAAGAATTGTTTGCGCTTCGCGCCTTTAATACTAAAATAGACCACTAACGACTTGAGCCGTTAACGATTGTTGAAAATTTTCTGCTAAAGTCTTTAATAAAATTGAGATCGTTAACTATTGGTAATTTTTAAATTAAATAGTAAATGCAGTTAACAAAAAGAACGTTATGTTCTAACTTTTAAATTAATGACTATCTGAAATTTTTATTTTTTAACGGTTTGAACTAACTGTTAACGAAACAGCTATAAACGTTCGAACGTGCCCAGCCCTATGCCCATTTCCAATGCAAGAAAGTTGTTCACGTTTTAAAACCAACTTTATTGGCCTGGCTCAAAATAGTGTTACTTCTAAGGACATATGTAGATTGTTTTATAGACCTGTGCTGATCTGCTTAAAGGAGATTGCCACTCTGAGGATTCGATTGAGGCAATGAAAGATGATCACATTAAGGTAACTCAGATTTCTAGGGGCTCAATGATTATGAATTCAAAGTAGAAATTCTAGTTTGATCATAATGTAAAATGCACCTCTTTTAAATTTTTGCCCATAAGATACAGGGTGAGAGAGAGAAAATGACTAACTAGGGAAACTTTAGCCAGGGGGGATATACACCCCTCCACACAAATGGGAAAGAATAAAACTGAACTTCAAGTAACATTAAAGGCCTGCATTCATCTTTTAACACTGTATCAACCTGGAGAATGGAGGTTTTTTACCTAACTGGATCCAGATTTTGCTACTGAGAGCTTTAAATATACTCCATAATAACAAGCCTGGTTAGCTGTTATTAAGTATCCCAACTCCTCGAAAAGTCATTAATTCTTTTGATTGAATCTGGTTCTATGTGTGCATGGTCATGGGCATTCCTGATTAGCAATAAAACTGAAAAACTGCAGATCTTAAAGAGAGGAACAGAAAACAGATGTATGATTAGCTAAAGAGAAAACACAACAGTCAGAGAAAAAAATTCCCTACTCGTTTTAAAATTTTGTTTAAAAAAAATTTTTTATTTGAAAATAAATAAAAGAAATGTATTGCAAAATTTAAACGCTTTTTAAAATGTTTAAAGTAGAGCAAAACTTCACCAACATTAGGTTAAAAAAAAGTAGAATGAAGCAATATTCATAAAGCTTTTAGTTAATACAATTTGAGTTTAAAAATGTTGAAATTAGATGTGGTGAAAGCAAAATTTATGTCTTTTTGCTAATACGTAGCATTAAAAAGTGATTTAACTATTTTTTTGGGAGAAATTATCATAAAATGCCTGCTTTTAAAAGAATAAAACATTCTCATCTCTACTCAGCGTTATTTAAGTGTTTGAAAAATATGGATTAAATCCTAATTTCAATTTAGTTTTAATTTCTCAGAATTGAACCAATTAATGAAAAGCCTGCCTGTTGAACATAAAGAATAAAAATTTAATAAACTGGGAATTATTTAAAAACTTTCGTGTCAATAGGCTCAAATTGGTCTACTTTGTTTAAAACCTGAATACATGTAGACATAAAGTAAGTGCTTCAGCAGCTAATTTATTATTTAAAAAGAGAGCAAATAAACCATCAGGAATTTTGAAGGCTCATAGTTTTTGAGTCTCATGTTAGAAAAAAATTCATTGAGAATTTCATTTAAATTTAACTTTAGATTTATCTGATTCAGTAAATTTTATATTGTAAAAGTTAGAACAATTCAATTTTATTTAAATTTTATTATTTCATTGATCTCATTAAAGATAAGTATTTTTTTTACGAATAAAATTTAAGGGAATTACATTATGCTCAAAAGATTTTCTAACTTATGTTTCCAAGTACTTTATTTTAATATTGTATTTTTCACGTTTCAAACGTTGATGTTCGCACAAATTTAGAAACGATAAATTCAAAGAAAATGAAATCACTGCGCCAATGCCGCGGTTGCCGGTTACTTAGGTAAAAAAATAGTCGTCTTCACATGAATTGTTTGCAGGCGATCCTTGAACATTTAGAGGCAGCTGAAGAGTGGGATTCTACTAAATGTCCAGTGGCCAGGTATTAATCTACATCATATATCAAGTTTTACAAAAACCTACATAACCTCATATATTCCCTCATACATACATGACCAGGAAATCCTCTCTAAAAACTGTTAGCTTTTGTCATGTGAGTCCTTTCACATCAATCCAGCTAGCCTACATTTTGTGTCTAAAACGTGCTGGTAAATATTTGTACCAATTCGGATGCTTCAACAATTTGACCAATGTGTGTTTGTTGGGGCTAAAATGCTATAGAGTGTCGAGTGCTATTTGTAGGAAAGGTTACAAAGCCAATCAATGGGCTAAAGAAGCCATGGTTCAGGCTATGGCACATTCATTTATTGAGCAATGACCATAACGCAAACGACCATAGAGAAAGTGGCTTAAGAGAAAATGGTTAAAAAATGAAAGGCTCAAGAAAAATGGCTTACGGGTGAATGCTAATGTCGCAGCGTTAGTAATTGAAATTCCAAAAGAAAAGATCTGGTGCAAAAAAATCTTGGTAAATCCAGAAGGATGGTTTTCAAAAGACCAGAACCTGAATTTTGGATTTCAAGTGAGCCTTAGTTAATAGATTGGCGATCCAATTCACAACCTTTGACTGATCAAGGATGTCTCACTTGTCCATAATAATCTACAGAAACCCTTGTAATTGTTGAATAATTGATTTGCAGCTTCAGAGATAAAATAAATATTAATATTTACTTTCTAGATGCCGCAAACCATAAACATTTTATTAATTAAAAATTTTGGAAACTGCTTTGAAACTGGTATTTTCGAGGAAAACATGAAACTTCAGCTGCGTTGAGTTCACACAGTCCGCTAGCGTACACTCCCTTTTTACGATGATTCGAACATTGATTAAGAGAAATACTCAAAGTTTTCTAGCCTCGGTGATTTAAGGGAACCGTTGTAAATCTTTCCATGGAGAGGCAGTTGAAATTACGCTTACAGTCTCTTTAAAGGGGAGGAAATGAAACAATAATCGAGAAGGTTCATAAGAAACTTCAAGGTGCATATTTAGAGTTTAAAGGTTTGTTCTGAAATGTTAGATCACTTATTCTTGATTATAAGACTTATAAGACAATAAGGTATTATTGTTAGCGTAAAACAAACACAAAATAGTTTTTGATATTTTATAAAACTTTAAGTTATACTTACTTTGATTTTCTAGTGAATACCTTGCCGGTCTAGAGGGGGAAGAAGATGGTGAAGAAGAAGAAGAAGGGAAAGAAGGAGAGCAAGAAGGAAAGCAAGAAGGAGAGGAAGAGGGAGAGGAAGGTGAGGATGTAGGAGAAGGAGAAGAAGGAGAGAATAGCGCTGATAAAGAACCAATTGAAGGTTTATATAAGGATTTCTAAACTAAACATTTTAGAATTTGATACTTGATCTAAACATTCATTGTTCACACTTTTGATTTATGCTCAAACCGATTATTTCCCCTCTTTTTGGATATCCCTACAGAAATGTGATTCCGACCAATGGAAGTTCTCTTATAAAATGGCACGCAAATTTCCTGGCTTCTGATTGGCTGTTCCGAGTTCTGCACATGCTACTCTGATTGGTTGAATTTTAGATTCAATTTCCTGTATAAAAACCAATAAAAAGTGAAGATCAAGCATTGATAATCCACAATTCAGGTTTTAGTCATAATTAAAAAAAAAATTCATGAAGAAACAAAGTTCTCTCGTTTAGAAAATATTTAAAACGATTTTCTTGTTTTCAGTTGTGGTGGATTTCTAAAAAATCTATATTTTTAATGGTAAAATTTCTAAAATTTGACGTGTTATGTTCCGATTGGTTCAGTTGTTTTGATGTTTATTGGATATTACTTTCTGTAGATTTCTGAAAGCTAATTATTCTCCTCTAACCAAGATTTCTCCAAACTTGACATTTATTTTGACAAAATTCCTTGGAAACCATGAATATAAAGATAATTCTGTTTTAGATGGAGAAAATGGAGAGGAAGAAGATGGAGCAGAAACTGAAGGTAAAGGAAATGAAGAGGGAGAAGGAGATGGAGAAGGAGAAGAAGAAGAAGAAGAAGATGGAGAAGAAGATGAAGATGAAGAAACTAACGGAGTTCTTCCAATCTCTGTTTCTCTCTCTCTTATACTAATCTCAATTTCCCTTTTCTAATCTGATTCCTAGAGGGGTCTACAGAATTTAGTGGAATGGTATGGCTAGAACTAAGTATATGTTCTCTACTGTTGTTGATAAATAAAATTTAAATTGGGTGTCAATACAACTGAACAATAACCATGCAATATAAAACTGTATTAATTAACTTTTCTGGATAAAAACTCATCCATGCAAATTCTGCTATATTTTGGGGACTACTGTATACATTGTGATATAATTAATTCGTTGTGATCAAGTGATAATGTGATAAAAAAAAATTTAAACAGTTTTCCTTGATGCCTTGAGCCAGCATTCTTTGTTTTTGTTTTTTCAAATATTTTAAACCCCAAGATCAATCAGTCAACATTCCACTGCAGCTAATTCTGCTACAACACATGGGCCCAAGGCCAACATTTACAATTTGTTTAAACATTTAGAAAAATAAATAATTTAAGATTTATAATGTTTTTAGGTTTAAGACACGTTAGTTTCAGCTAGAAAGATTTGGATATCTCTGACATCCTTTATCTAAAACAAGGTTTTAAAGTGAACCATTGTAAAATTACACTGAGCGTTCCTTTAAACTTTTTTTGTTGACTTAAAGGGAGTGTTCGCGAAAAATGCGTCGAAAAATAATCGATGACTATTGTTTGAAATATCTGAATGATTTGTTTGGAATTAAATTGATTTGTTTACGATCCGAGTTGAATGTTGCATCTTTTTGAATTTGTATTGACGCTGCGTTCTTCGGTGTGAGTCTTTTTTAACAATTTTCTCCTTATAGACACAACAGATAGAAGTAAGATTAGTAGCGATCAAAAGCGCTTTTTTATCGCATTAAGCCTATACCCCCTTTAATTTTTCGCGAACACTCCCTTTAAAGTGAGTGTTCGCGAAAAAAATAAAGGGGGGTATAAGCTTACGGTGAATAATAGTCGCTTTTAATGGAAAATAATCTTACTTCCATCTGTTGCAAGGAGAAAATTGTTAAAACTACTTTTTACTGAAGAGCGTAGCGTCCATACAAATTCAGAAAGTTGCAATATACGACTCGGATCGTAAAAGAAAAGAATCAATTTAATTTCGAACAAATCATTCAGATATTACAACCTGTAATCGTCGATTATTTTTCGACGCATTTGTATATAGTTAATATTTTATAATACTTTTTATTTCTTTTGTTCAAGGCACTTAAAACGCCGAAATAGTTGGCAGCCAGGTGTCTCTGCTCTCGATTCTGTTCCAATAAATAGGATCGATTTATATTTTCACGTCAGGGATCTATAGCATACAGGGGCGGATTCGGCGGATACAGGATTTTTTTAAGATAGAATTTTTTTTTCTGTTTTGTTTTTGCACTAGGTTTTTTCCCCTTAAGTTCTATTTAGAAGCTATTCTGAAATCTAATTCGACCTTGATGGCATACAATTACAAATACACCCCTGTTTAAGTTTTAACCCCCCCCCCCTTCCTTTTAAACTTATGTTGGAAATTTCGATATCCACATAAGGAACTGAGTTCATCCTTATTCTTCGTAACTTAGTGAAGTAAACCTTTAATGTTTTACACTTAGACAACTTAATCTAACAGAATTCATAGTTTGAACTTTTAAATTGTCTACATCATAGGATTGGTAAGATATAAGTAAAGAGATCTAAAAAATATGAGTTTGTGGAACGAATTTAGTTCTTTTGTTAGATAAAATCAAAATTGTAAAAATAACCCATTTCCCCAAATCTTATGTTGTTGATTATTATGTTGATCCATCTCATAGTCTATCTTGAAAAAATTTATAGTTGGCTTTTAAATAGTATAAATGAATGTAGATTACTTCTTTACAAATTCGGATTTACCGAAATGAAAACTTTAGGAAGGTGGATATCTAGATCAATGCCTGATCTCTTTTTCTTAATCTCCAGTTTAAATATTGCTTGTTCTCCTCATGTTAATCTCCAGAGAGCTGAAAACTTTAGAATTGGATATCCTTAATCCCGATCGCTTAATCTGAGTAACCAATGTACACATTTTTGATTTTCTTCTTATAATCCTCTTTTCTGGATACCCCTACTGTATGAAAGTTACGTTTGATAACAATTAAGATACGATGCTATATCGATTGAACTAAAGTCAGCTGTTCACAAGCCGGCTTCTAGAGCATAATATAAATTTAATCATGTTAATATGAACTTAATAAAAAAAACATTTTATTGGAAACAAACAAACATACAAAACAAATTTACATATAACTGTAATCATACATTTTTCTATTCGATTGAATAGTTAATTTAAAAAGAAAATTCACAAATGTTGACAGAAACGAAATATTATTCTGACCCTCAATAGTAAGATTTTCCTAGTTTAAAGTTATGTTCCAAACTTCAATTTTGTAATTTCACAAAACTCATAGTTTTAAATATCAGTGGTCTACAACGTAATTGTTTTTAAAGGTTTCACAGGTTTCAAAGGTTCAAAGATTATGAAATTAGAGATTCTGCAAGTAATGATTCCTTTGATTAAAAATTTTCTTTTCTTTCGGATTGTTAACTGTGAAATCATTCAATAAAGATATTAAAAAAAAGCTTCGACAATCTTTCTTTCTGACATTCATTTATTCTAATATACTAGCTGAAGAGCCCGGCGTTGCCCGTGGAAAAAAATGTTGAAAAAAAATTGAAAAAAAGGTTGAGAAAAAATTTGATTTTTTTAGCCCTCGAGTGTCCACAAAAAAATTCAGCTTATCCGGTCCAGCCGTTTGGCCGGCTGTAGGCATCATATATATAAATGTCTTGTTTTATTATATAGATAATTTTAGGATGGAATAAAATTAATATTTCTGTGGGCGTAGACTTCTCATTTCACGACAATAGACTTTAATATTTCTCAGAGAAGGTAGTGCAATTTTTTAATAAAAAAGAATCGAAAATTAAATTGAAACAAATTACTTTTAAAACTCTTTTATAGACTTTTTACTCTCCTCAAATATAATTTTCTAATCCTATACCTTTGAAACCTGATGCGTAGATATTTTGAAATATTAATTCTGCTAAAGCAAATGGTCAAAGTTTGAAATATCAAAAGGTTGCTCAATGAGGTAGCAAAAAATTTTAAATTTCATTCTTATCTTACTTTATTATCTCAGCATCTTTATAAGATTCCCCCATTTATAGACAAAGTATTAAAGTTTTTGCCACAAACTCAAAATTTTTAATTCCTATCCATATGTCCTTTCCACTTGATGGTGTAAACCTTCTGCAATTTTAAATTGAAATTATCAAACATTATTCCCATTTAAAATATCGAAGATCTGCGATATTGTTTTAAAAGATATAAGGGTTAAAATATTTAAGTTTGTGGCAAAAAATTCCTTCATAAAAGTCTTAACGGCTGAACCGATCGGGTCCAAACTTGTTGTGGCTTAACTTACATGTGACCAGAGGGAAGGTTTATATTTACAAAAAATAGTAACATTTAAACGATTGAATTGTTGATCAAAGAGGGGCACAAAGCGCCCTGAAAGCCTGGTATTTGACATTTGTGAATTAGAGTATTCAAGATTGAATCAAGATCCAATTATAAATGATGAATACAAACTATGACAAAAAAGTTCGTAGACAAAAGGGAGTAATTTAAAGACTTTTTAGTTTCAGGAGAATTTTAAAGAACTTGTAAGAAAAACTTTTTTGTTTTATGAAATTAATCCAATTATTACAATTTCTATAGTAATAAAAAAGAAAGAATTTTAATTAAAATATTAATTAAGAATTAAGTAAAGTTAAATAAAATTTATGACTGATATTTCTATTAGTAACTTCAAAAAAATAAAATAAGCATGAAAGAAATAAAAATTATTAATATCATAAGGCTATTTTGAATATTGGAATTTAAAAATAATCTTAATAAAAATAACGTTTATTTAATTAACTCCATGAGCTTAAAGAAGTGACACTTAAATGTAAAAATATTGCAGTCAAAGCAAAAGTTGGAATTGCATTTTTAAGATGGGGTGGGGGGGGGGGACAATGCTCCCCTACTGGTTAGAGCTCTAGGAAAAGCAGCAATAAAAAGTTTCGTGACTGCTGAGTATTTCGTGATACACTCTGTACACGTAACGTAATACACCATACAGGATGTCCCATAAAACATGACAGTTGGTAAATAGTTTTAAATGTCGTCTTCCATTCACTTTATTAGATTTTAAAGGCTGTTTGCAGTTTATCACGTTTAAAAATCTTTTGCTCAAATATATTTTACTTTGAAGTTACATTTACTATAATATGACTCCTTTATTATTGTCTTTGGTATCAAACAACTTAAAAAATTACGGAAGAAGATATTCTAAACTATTTACCAACTGTCATGTTTAGTGGGACACCCTGTACAACAAACTGATTCTCTTAGGACAAATTATTTATTTACCACTTTAAGAATTTTTAAAGGAAATAAGATAAAATCCTTGAACCGATCTACCGGACAGGGGTGTATATGGTTTACATGATGATTTCCAACATTTTTAGGGAATATGCAAACTTCAATTTCCTTAATGCTTTTCCCTAAATTTGTCTCCGAAAAAGTTTAAAATCACAACAATGCATCAAACATAAAATCTTCTATGAAAACTTATTTTTTGAGGATGGGAATTTTTTTCAAGAAAATATAGATACACCCCTGCAAGTTCAAGGAATGCCTTCGGTTGGGAAAGAACAAAACTAGGAAAGGAATTTCTCATTCTATGTAGTTATTAATTTTCAATTTCTTCAAGATTATAACTAAAAAATTGTTACGCGAGCCATGCTCCGTGTATAAAGTCTAGTTGATGCCCCTGTGAATTTCTGAGTTTTCCCTGCGGATCTGTACAGAACGTATTGTGAAGAACTAGTTTTAGAAGCTGTTTACAGACTGACTACGCAGGCGCAAGATTTCTCGAGTGGGAGTGAACAGTTTTATATTAGTATATGTTTATTTGTCTTGCAAGTGTAACCGTGTCCATAATTCTAGGATCACTGTGGTAATCATTTCTTATGTATATATGTATGCCTATCGTTTGATTAATTCACATCAGGCTCCTTGGTTGGATTCACATCAGGCTCCAAGGTTGGATTCACAACAGGGTCCTTAGTTGGATTCACATCAGGCTCCTTGGTTGGATTCACATCAGGCTCCTTGGTTGGATTCACAGCAGGCTCCTTGGTTGGATTCACATCAGGCTCCTTGGTTGGATTCACATCAGACTCCTTGGTTGGATCCACATCATGCTCCTTGGTTGGATTCACATCAGGCTATCAAGACTATGTTAGTCTTGAGATTAAATATTTAGATCAACAAATTGGATTCTAAGAACGCCAGATTGGTTCGTATTCTTGACTGGAAGGGCCTTCACTTAATTTCTCACCCATTTATTTATTAATACATTAGTTAAAATTCTTTATTTGTTAGAAACTGCGGATTTCAATCATAGGATAAAAGTTATTTTCAAGACCGTCATTTTAAATAAAATTTACGAACTATATTCCTGCACTCTAATTGGAGAAAATAATGCACGGATATCCAAAGAGAGGACAAAAGTTAAAAGTTTCCACAATGAATATTCGGATTAAGTAGTTGGGATTAAAGGTTATCTATTCTATAGTTCCCAGCTCTGGTTGGATTCACATCAGGCTCCACGAGATAGATTCACAATGGGTGTTTCATGTTGAAGAGTTTGAAAGTAGCTGAAGTTCATGAGCGTACTGCAGCTGCGCGGGTTGATAAATATTACTGGTACAAATGTTTTATTTAGTTAATTTGATCTCCTTTTTCGTATATATGAAAGCGAAAACATGGAGTATATGCTACAGCGGTATACTGAACACTTTACCGTCGGACCTACGACAAAGGAGCTACAGCGGAGATATATGGAGTATATATATACAGGGTGTCCCACGAAACATGACAGTATGCAAGAGGACTTGAATGTCTTCTTGATTTTTGATACAATTTGCTGCGTTTATTTGTCAACCTTATTTTAGAAGTAAATTTCTAGAGATAATAATCACAAAATTCCCCTAGTCCTGCCATTTCCAAAATGTGGTCTGCCTTTTTTGTGCTTTCAATATAGCCCGAGATATGAAGAATTTCGTTCAGATTTCGACAATTTTGCTTTTATTTAACAAAATTGAAATCTGAACCAAATTCTTCATATCTCCGGTAATATTGAAAGCAGAAAAAACGCAGACCACTTTTTGGAAATGCCAGGGCTAGGAGAATTATGTGATAATTGTTTCAAGAATCATACATGTTAAAGTAGATAGAAGACTAAATGTCACAAATAAATTCAAATATCAAAGACGACTTTCAAGTCGTCTTGCTATTGTCATGTTTCGTGGGACACCCTGTACTATGGAGGTACATAATTACTTCGTACCTACGAAAGAGGAGATAAAGCGGAAATAAGAAGTTTACACAATGGCGGTGTAGTAATTTCTTCTCCATAGCACTTACGATGGAGGGGACATGGAGTACATACTATGGAAGTATAGAAACCTCTCCGCTATAACACATTAAACAGACCAAAACATGGTGGAGATCGATTGTTAGCTGGGATATTCTTTTTGTTATTTTTTGGTACTCAAATGAAACTCAAACATTTCATTTATATATATTATAATTTGAAGTATTTACCATTGAAAAACGAAACTTACAAGTTATAAATTTGAAGTACCTATTATTAAACAACGGAACTTCCAGATGTAAATTTGAAGTATTACATTGAAAGACGGAACTTCAAATTATAAATTTGAAGTATTTTTTATTGAAATCGGAACTAAAAGTTGTAACTTTGAGGTATTTTTTATTGAAAAATGGAACTTCAAGTTGTAGATTTGAAGTATTTTTTATTGAAAACGGAACTTCAAATTATAAATTTGAAGTATTTTTATTGAAAACGGAACTTCAAATTGTAAACAGAAAATAAATTAACCTTCTCACAGATATAGTGTTAAAATATACCAACATCAAAACTTCTATGCATATTGCTAAGGTTGCAATTTCAGAATCGCTCGACTGAAATTCATTTGTTTAGTCTTAGTTTATTCGTTCATGCAGTTCCCAACCGTAATTTGAACTTACGAGTCAGCTTAGTTTCATCCTTTGTGCAGATAACCCTGTTTGCATATCTAGTCTAGCTAGAGCACTAGAGAGGGGCGGATTGCGCCCTGAATTTCTAAACAATAAAAACAGTGTATGATTTATGTTTATGTAATTCATTAAATTCCAGAGGACAATCTATAATTGAATCTATAATAATAATTGCAATGATACATATATATAAATTAACATGTATAAGGTGGCTTCACGAATAGAGATATTAATTAATAAAAAATTAATAATTAATTAATTCCAATTGTAGCAGCTGCAGGTACCCCCCCCCCCACATTAACACAAATGAAATCACGTTTTTTTAAAGTAAAGTTTCGTTTTTTATTCGTTGATATGGGCAAAATATATTTTAGGCAAAATTAAATGAATTTTAAGAGTAAAACTTATCAAAACAGGGTGAGAAAAAACTTGCCTTCTGATACCATATTACCCCCAATATCATCAAAAAACCCTTGCTACACGTTTCTTCTGTGGAGTCATTACCGCGGGGTCAATTAAAATTACGTTTAAAAACCTTATAAGTAAGATATTAGAAAAAGGAGATTCAAATTTATCAGTAACTGGAGCCAAAATTCAGCAGTTTTAACTTTCCGAAAATATAAACAATTTTTTTATAATTTCCCTTTTTTAGTTTAAACGGAGTTAAGTTTCTAATTATATAATTTCACAAATATTAGATAAATGCAGAGTTAGGGAAATGAAATTGGATGGAGAAATTTCACAACTTTTAGGATTGGCTCTTAGAAAATATAATTTGATTTATTTGGTCAAAAAAACTAAATTTAAACATAAGGATGGTTTTTCCAAACCAGGGGAAAATTAGTATTTCATAAAAATGGATTAAAAAATAATTTGTAAAAGAATAAATCATTGAAGTGGTCAGTAAAAGGTTAACAAATAGATAAAACACAACAAATAATTACAAGTCTTTGCTACTAGAAATTTGACACTAACAATTGTTCTTAAAAGTGATCTTTAAGATTCATAATTTCAGACTTCAAAATTAATCTTAGTTTTGAGAATTTTGAAAATAGTTAAAAGAAGAGAAAAGAAATAAGTAAGCCTGTATATGGAAACTGAAACTAAACTCAAACATGGAATGTATAAAAAATAAACCGCAGTGTTCAGACCCTCCTGGAGCAGAACCCAAAATATTTGAATACAAAATAACGACGGATAATTTCATTAACTTCTCTAAATTTAATATTTTTTTGTCAAGCCAACCTTTTAACAACAAACTAACCTAGGAACATATACTCACTTCCGAGGAAGTATTATAAAAATGATTAACTACGTCACAGAAAGTCTGGTTGGGATAAGTCTCTCTCCCAAATGGTGCGGACACCTATAGCAAGGTGCGGGGGGATGGAAACCGCATGATTTATAGAACTGAATGTAAACTGAGAGAACGGTGTTGATTATTTACAAATATCATTTTAAACTCTGTTTTCTCTGTTGCCTCATTTTGAGGTGTGTTTGACTATTGAGCGTCTGATTATTGATGATCTGACCGGCGGCTAGTGGCTGGCCAACCAGCCCCCCTTGTTTCGGACTGGAGAGTACAAAGTGATGTTCTCCATGGTTCTGGAGTTGAACCACCATAGGAGACTCCGGACCCATCATCCCCTGGGGAGAGGTGACAGAGAGGGGAGAGGAAGGTATACCGGGAGTATGAGGGGTCGGAGGTCCCTGGGGCGAGGGACTGGCCCCCAACCCCTTCACTTGACTAGGTACTGCTTGAACTAGAGTACCACAGTTCATTTGTTGATTGACCGGCACGCGACTAACTATCTGTATAGGCTGCTGGCTTACACCTCCGGGCATTTGAACCAGGAGGGAGTTTGATTGCCCAGGGCGGACCATCACCTGGTGACCACCTCGGACCATGCTCATATTGCTTTGGACCATAGGCGCAGGTTTAATGCTCGTAAACTGGGAGCCGGGTTGGGCCGCCTGTGCCGGAAGATGAATAATATTGCCCGAAGGTCCTTGAAGCATGACGGTCCCGGATCCTGCGGGACCATTCACCAGTTTGCCCACCGAGCTAACAGTGACACTTCCTGGCTTGGCAGTGTTGTTTACTATCATTTGCTGGTTTACACTTCCATTTGTCACCTGACCCAAACCTTGCTGATGACCTTCAGGAAGACTAACGGAGAATGTGATGGGTTGATTATGACCTGGTATGGAAAGCTGAACTGGAATGGATTGAAGTTGGACCTGACCAACCTGTCCTAGGGTGACAATTCCCCCCTGGGACATAGTTCCGTTGACAGCATTGTTCCCTGAGTTTACAAGGTCCTGGAGTGAAACCGAGACCATTGTTGGCTGGTTTTGCTGCTGCTGTTGGAGCTGCAGGATTGGAGATTGTGACGCCTGCTGGACCTGCAGCATCTGGGACTGATTCTGCAGAACACCAGATTGGGACACATGGAGAATCTGGGAACCCATCCCAGGCTGGGACACATGCAAGATCTGACCCTGGGACACCTGCACAAGGTTTTGCTGGTTGGAGACAGGGACAAGGCCTTGGGACGTGACCGCCATCAAACCTTGGCTATTCTGCAGGAGGGATACATTACTACTCCTGGGAGGTTGGGAGAGTTGTGCGGAGAGGATAGAATGAGTTGTAGGAGTAGGATATCTTGGTGCTGGAGGCTGCATCAGCTGCTGATGAACTACAGGGTTGGACTGTCTGGGACTACCGGGAAGAACAGATCTAGGGGATTGAGCAGGTTGTATTGATCTAGGCGAGGTTACGTTGGTTCTAGGTGAGGCCGGAGGCTGTTTAGGAGACGTCAATCCTGTCTGATACAGACGAGAGTGAACAGACTGAACAACTGGCTGTTGGAGTTGCTGCAGCAGTGGAGACATTTTCGTCGGAGAATTATTCGTTCCTGCGGATCTAGGTGGGTTGGAGAGAAGGCCAGCCAGGGTGATGTCGTTTGAATCTGAGTTTGAGCCGTTTACCCCAGGTTGTTGAGCAACAACATTAGGTATCTGACTTGCTAAAGGATTAAGGTTTGGAGAACTTAAACTAACCGGGTTGGATCCTCCCGCCATCAGTCTTTCAAGAAGGGTTGTATTAGAGGCCGAGGCAATAGAAACAGAGGATGATTTATCCTCTGAGAGAAGAGCTTGAAGTGAGGGTGCTCCGTCCCCAGATCCTAGTTTTCTAGGCGAGCTTTGAAGGGCAGGGTTGGTTTGACTGGCAATAGCTTGACTGTAACTAGGAAGGGAGGATGATGTTTGTACTGGTCTAGCAAGCTGAGCAGCAAGCTGTGATAGGGTCACCTTCACCATCTGCTGCTGTAAAGGTATACTGCGAAGGTTCTGTAAGGTGACCCGACCGGTGGGTAGTCTCTGACCTACAAGGCTAGAGGCGGGTACAGGTACTGTAGGTAGAAGCTGGGCAGCTCCACTAGCCTGCCCTGGCACTTTCCGTTTATCATCAATCCTCTGCTGCTCAAACTGCGCCTCGGCAGACATCAAGGATTGAACTATGGCGGATATCGCCTCCTGCTGATTATCTCCATTGGCGGAAGCCTGACCGGAAGCAGACGAAAGCTTGGCGGTTGATACCTGAGCCAGCTGTTGTATTTGTACAGGTTGAGAAGTGGATAGTTTAGGTATACCCTGGTTTATTGTTTGTATGAGCTGAGGACCGTGGGGGGTCTGGACTATCTGCCGGGATATCTTAGATGCTAGGATAGAGTTGATTTGATTCTTGTTAGGTGTGACTGATAAAACAGGAGTAGAGTTGGAAACACTGGCTTCGTTCAAGGATCCACTACTCACTGTAATAGTGCCCCCGGCTCCAGATTTTATCACATTTATTCCTCCCTGAAAAACAAAAACACTTTCATTGGGTTATCAAAAGAATATTGGACTCGAAGTTAAAATAACGTGAGAAAAAGGGGGTAGTTTATGTAGTATGTAAAAAATATAAAAATAAAATATGTATTTCGTTTAAAAACGTATTGTGAAAGTTATTTAAAATATTTCTTGGAAAACTTTAATCTTTAAGTTTTTCAGTAACTTTGAGAACTTCTAAACCTAATAAAATAAATTGAAATTTGAAACTTATTTTACAATTTGATGTAAAACCTAATAAAAATCAACATGATTATATCTATTTTTTTACTAATCTTTTCAAAGTATAACATAAGCCAACTTCTGATGAACTAAAACCTTAAAAGTTTCTATTACAGTGAATATCTTGATTACTTTCACGCTTGTTTAACCTTCCTCCCCGAATAATTCCAAATGGTTAAGAGAAAAATAGATAAAAATATATAAAAATACGGTGACAAGTTCAAAGAATCAACCGAAAAATTGCACTATCTATCAATTTTTCGAGAAATTTCATTATATGAGGGTTCGTTCAGTAAAAAAACAATCGGTTTTTCAAAATCGTTCGAACAATTTGTTATCATTGAAACAAAGATATTTTTTTTATTTCTCCGAACGATCCAAGTAGTTCGTCCATCATTCGTTTTATTTCTTAACGACACCATAGTTCTCAAAAAATTTCGGGGTCTGTCCTAGTTTACGATTTCTGGACCCCCTCCCCCCCCCCTCCTACCAATTTTGAACATGACCTAGATTTCAACTATTTTCAACAACAAAAAACACTTATTTTGTATTATTTTATGGTTAGGATATGACAATTTCTGGGCCAAGCGCTAGGACAGGCTAGGAGCGACAGGACAGACCTTTAATTTCAACAATTTTCAAGAAAATTAGTATATATTTAGGGTTGGGTTAGGTTAAGACACTTTCTGGGCCGAGCGCAGCGGCTTGGGCAGGCTAGGTGGCCGAGCGCCGCGAATAGGAGAGACTAGGAAATTACCAAATTTCGTTGGTTCACTAAAACGATGACTAACCAACTCTACCAGTAAGTAGGTGAAAGCTAACCTGTGACGTAATGGATAGATGTGTAGCTGACTGTGGTGTTATCTTCCTTTGTAGAATCGAGGCCTGCTGCCCAGCCTGTACAACAACCTGGGTAGAACCAGCGGGCTGGGACACCTGCTGCTGACCCGGCGCAGCAAGTTTTAGAGACTGTGCCGCGGCATTTTGTTGAGCTTGCGCAGCCGCCATACTGGCTTTTAAGCCAGGGGTGTAGGTTACACGGGGAGCTTGACCTGGAACCTAAATGGAATTTATTAAATCAATCATTTAAATGTCACGTCATTTTTCTCTCTCTTCAAATTACTGACACATGATTCTCGTAGATTTGCTGTCCCTTGAGATACTACAGTAAAATATCATCGATGATGCTCTGCTTTAGAAAACAAGTTTGCAGATTTAATTTTCACCAACGATATAGTTTTCAAAACTACTTTAATCAGAAATTTAAGTAATATTCGGATTTCCCCAAACCAGTTTGTATATTAATCATCCAACACTATGGCAGGGATTTATTTAGAAATTTTGTGGCAGATGCAAGACTTCACTGTTGGTCGATTTCATGGACTAAGATAATTTTTGTGACGATTTAATGCGTCTAAATGTGACATTTTTAGTGTAATAAGAAAACAGTGTCGTCCCAAATTAATCCTAGATGAATCCATGCACTATGTCCCAGAAGTTTTGCCGTCAAAACTGATTGTGAGAAACTTTCTTAACATAATTGAAAATAGCTTTTTACAACAAAAAATATGTCTTTCAATTGTGAAACCCCGTCATATTTGTACCTAATACCTTCCGAGGTCCTAAAATGAGAATAAAGAAAACCAGTGAAGAGAAAGTTTTGAAGATGATAAACATCCAATGAATGTTTTTGAAATAATCCTTAATCTTAACCAAACTTTTATCCTGTTTCTTAATTAATATTTTGAGAGCTGAATCCAATTATCAATCATAGATAAATGATATGCCACCTAAAAGTGTCAATTAACAAACGCTACAACTTTATATTGTTTTATTGCATAAATTAAAATGTAGATTAAGGTGATAAAGCTGATGCAAACTCGAAGCTAAATTTTGTCGGATCCATAGAAAAATACCAATTCTTAAAAATGCATTCCTCTTAAGGACATTCTACTTTTCGATTTTTCCCAAATGTATTAAATCTAAATTCTAAGTGAGATCTCCCAAAAGGAATATTCCAAATTTTTCTGTTTTTCAAAAAATTAATTTGATCAGCAAAAACTAGATGTTAAAAATTATTATTCAGTCCCTTCCGCTAAATGTCCAAAACTTACTAGATGTTCTAAAGCTCCACTAAACAAAAATGTTAATTACAAACAAAAAAAGTAAAGGCCCGATACGTTCAAGCGTTTGACATTTATTTGATACAATTACAAACAACCCAACAAAAAAAACTAGACAGTAACAGACCAGCTTTGGTGTTATGAATTTGTTTACCTTATGAGTAATTTCTACGGATTTCCTGCCCTCTTCCGTAAATATTTCCGTAAACTGGTTTATATACTTGAGTGCATTGGTTCTGGTTCCAAGCTGAAATCTACACGTGGAACCCTTCTTCTCCTCCTCCTGAACAAAACTCAGTTAAATCAAGAATTAATTCTTAAACCAGGGAACAAATTTTTTTAATTTGAGCTACGTCACTGAACCGTCTACTGCGGGTTCAAATTTGAACCACCGATTTAAAGTTAAAGATTAAGGAAGGATTTGAATCGGTGAATTAAATATGTGAACATGCGGTAGGTGGACGAGAAATTTAGCTTTTAACTGGGAACTTCTGTTTTGTGAATATCGAGATCTATGCTTGATCTCGGACTTTTGTTAATCTGCAGATTAATCTATTATTTATTCTAGATCTCCCATGGTAACAGATAAAGGAATTAATTAAGTAATAATCCTTAAATTATAAGGGCGCACAGGGATAAAAAGATCTGTAGATCGGGATTATGAGTATCCAACACAATATTTCCCAGCTCAGAAATCTGCTTATGTCAATTGTTAAGAAAATGGTAATGAAGGAAAAATCCTTGAATGCCAATTTTTGAAAATATCAATATTGCCCTTTTTTTCTAAAATTATAACGACAGTTTAAACCTGGAAGGAACTCCGTTTTATTTGAAAAAATAACAGGTATATATAACACAGAAATAAAAAGGACAAATAAAGATTTTTTTGCAGTGGTTTTCAATGTTTAGGGTAAATTAAGGGGGGGGGGGAATGCTATGTAAAGAAAAAATGAGTTTGTAAAAACCATGGAAAAGAGGCGAGAAAGTTGTAAAACGATTGATTGATTGATTTTGTTTTTAATTGAAATTACTTTATAATCCCGCTCCACGTAGAGTTCCCCGATATACTCGTCGTTGGCAAGCCTCTGGAGGATGGTGAGGCGGGTGTGGTAGACACGAGGCTGTCCTCGTTCAGCTGTCTCGAGGATATATTCCTCGACTAGCTGAGGGGTCATATCTATACTTTCCGGTCGACGGTTCAACGGTCTAACAAACTTCTCCACGTCGACCTAAAACGATATTTAAAATCAAGTTTTTATTTTCCTTAAAATGTTAAAAAAATATTACATTAAATTTTATAATTTGCATGTTAGTAAATGAAAAGTTTATTATTTGTGTGTTAGCATTTCTTTCTTATTCATTTAAGTTAATGATTTTTGTTTCTCTGAATAAAAAATTGAGCGAATAAGAACTTTTAAATAGCACAACATACCTAATATCTGAAGAAGAAAAAAATATCAAAAGGCGGGGGGGGGGGGGGGGATTTTTTTTCTAGAAAATATATAGTATACACTATACACTCCATGTTTTTATTTGATTTCATGCAACTGTAAGCCTCTTGAATTAAAAAAATTCGAATTTTGAAAAATAAAATTCGGGTATTCGTAGACCAAATTCAAATCTCTCTAGAAGTTTTTACCAGTAAGGGTCACGTACGTAAAGTCTCATACTCTTATAATAAAATACCTGTGCCGGCATGGCAAGCCGTAATTCAGGAGAGGCGAGGTGTAGACTACCAGTAACACATGAAGGAGGCGGGCACCGGCCCGCTAGAACCGCCTCGGCGTCTTGCGCCAGGGCAATACTTCGCTCCTGATGCTGACGCAAGGATTGGACCGGCGGTACCCAGCGTTTACTCGGCTGGGGTAACCGTGTAGTGTTCAGATTCTTAATGAAATCGTAAATTTTGAGTTCCGGCGGCGCCGGGAGGGATTCCAGCTTCCGCTTCCTAGACTGACCGGCCTGAGAGTAGTGCTTGTGAGCGTGCCGGCGCATCGAAAAGGTGTTAAACTTCAACCTTTATATTAATATTGTTTATACATTAAGCATAACAATTTTAGGGATAATCTTAAGTTTTTAAATGTAAAAAAATTAATAAATATATATTTTTAACAATATTATCGAATATGAATTGGACGGGAGAAGGTAAATAGGACAGTGTGTGTAAAGGTATTAAAGGGGTATTATATAATAATAATTCATCCATAAGTTTGAAGATATTGGAATTTTTTTTTAAATTAATTTTTATCACCATCATTATCATAATTATCATCATTATCACCATCATTATCACCATCATTATCATCATTATCACCATCATTATCATCATTATCATCATTATCATTATTATCACCATCATTATCATCATTATCACCATCATTATCATCATTATCATCATTATCATCATTATAATCATTATCACCATCATTATCATCATTATCATCATTATCATCATCATTATCATCATTATCATCATCATCATCGTTATCACAATCATTATCACCATCATTATCATCATTATCACCATCATTATCATCATTATCATCATTATCATCATTATCATCATTATCATCATTATCATCATTATCATCATTATCACTAACCTGACTCTCTATACTGTTTCTATCTTCACTATTAACCCTACCCAGCCCTTCCTTCCCCAGCCTCACACTATCACAGATAATACTTTGAGTTGTAGGGCGGAGAAGTACAAAGCGGGATCCGCCCCAGGGCCCGCCCCCTCCGCCTCTGTGGTCACGTACTTCACAAACTATACACCCCCCGTGGAACAAGTTTTGGCTTAAATCTAATCAATATATTCATTTTATTACCATGTTTTGATTAAAAAACTGTAACAAATTAAAAAAATAATAAATGAAATTTGTCAATGTATTTATAGCGAACAATCGAGAATCGCTGATAATATATTTTTAACGATCATCTAAACTAGACAATTTTTTAGTTTTAAAGAGCTGGCTAAAAAAATGTTCACGAAAATTAAGTTTAACTTAAATAATTAATAATGCACCCAGTGGTAATTGATTGTTTTGAAAAGGAAAATAAAAGCTAATTGTCTAATTTTTACATTTCATAATTAATGTCATTGTAAAACATTAAAAAATAATAATAAAAACCTGTCTCCCACTGAAATACAAAAATGAAAATGTTTCATTCAGTGCTTGGAATCCGCTTATTAAAATTAAATTTAATAATAAAAAAATATTAAAATGCAGATATTAAATTATGGAAATTAGAACCGGATCCGCAGCACGATGATATTGATTTTAATATTAAGAGAAAAAACACGTCAGGGTCTTTCTTTATGAACTCAGCCAGTTTTTGGAGATCATGGAAATCTATGTCATGGATTTTCTTTAAATTTTTCACACAGCTGACATATTTTGAGAGAACAATAAATCCAAAATTGCAGACTCCTGGGACCTCTGGTTACTGAGTTATTTTAATAATTGCATATGCTCAGAAATAGCATTTATATTTTTGACCTCGATACCCTCTATCCTCCAATATTTTTTAAAGATTCCCTACAATGTATTTATGTATTTAATGATTTTGTAAAGTTTCATTCTTGAAATTTACTTGATGTTGTAAATAGAGCTTTTATTATAACCCACTGTACATAACTATTTTGTCTAAATTCAGTTATTGTAAGGGCTAAAGCTATTCTTGTTACTCAATATTTTAGTAAATTGTTTACAAAAAATTGCATGTGTGTAAGACTTGTTTTTTTAAATATTTCAATGTAGAAATAATTTTACACCTCAGATACAGAAGGAAGAGGGGGGGGGGAAGTAAAATGGAAAGATTTAAGAAACTGGAGCTTGGAAGATTATGTTAAGATCCCTTCAATCATCATTTAACAAAGATAAAAAGATCTGAGGAAAATACCAGAAGCACTGCTAGAAAAATCTCATCTTAATCCTAGGAAAAGGACATCCAAAAGGCAGTGTAGGTATGAGTAAAAATTTGACCCCCACCTAAGACAAATAAACGAGCACCCCCCCCCCCTCTTTCTGTATCTGAGGTATACCTACACTGAAATATTTAAAAACAAGTCATACACACTTGAAATTTGTTGTGTACAATTTACTAAAACATTGGTAAAATGAATTTGAGTAACAACAATAGCCGTAGCTCTTACAATCACTGAATTTAGACAACATAATTAGTACAGTGAGTTACAATAAAATCTCTAGTTACAATATCAAGTAAATTACAAGAATGAAACTTTGCAAAATCATTAAATACATCGTAGGGAAAATTAGAGGATATAGGGTATTGAGGTCAAAAAATATAAATACAATTTTTCAGCATATGCAATTAGTTAAAACAAATATTATAATTTTATCTTCAAATAAGTAGTGAAAAAATGACGTTAAAATTGGCTTGATATCTTCATTAACAAAAAAGTTACATCCAAGCATGTGAGGTCAGGCCAAAAATTGCCTCGAGGCCATAACTTAGTAACCAGAGGTCACAGGAGTCTGAAATTTTGGATTTAATGTTTTCTCGTAATATACCAGCTGCGTGCAAAATGTAAAGAAAATCCATGCCAGTGATTTCTATGGAGTACTGACTTGATTTCATCCAACATGCGGCATCAGTTAAGATTTCTTTAATAAATCAGTTTTGAAATAATTCAATAAATAAGTTAAAAAATAATGCATGAATGCATGAATATATTCCTTGCAGTAGGTCTGCTATAATCACTGGTATCTCCTCGTTATCAATACTGTTGAGTAGGTGAGTATCCTGGTAGGAGAACTTTACGAGCTCCGAGTATACCAGACTACTGGACATTAATCCCAGTACATACCCGTCCTGTACCGTCCATAACTTTGTCCAATGTGTACATTGTGAAAACATGTACATCAGAGAATGTAATTAATAAAAATCTCTCAAATGGGTTGTGTTTTTGTCCATGGCATTTTGAATTTATTTTGAGCATATTTTTACACCCACCAATCGTGACATAATGAGTGATTTTTTTTACTAAAAATAACTATAAAAAAAAATTATAATCCACATCACTTCAGATCAAAAAGCGTCTTAAGTAAAGCATGGTTCTACTCAGGTAACGTAGAACAGTAATAATCAACCAGTATTACGTGCGTAAGGAGGAATTATTAAAAATCCAGCATGAGAAATAACCTACAACTAATCACAAATTTTATACAAAATCCGGTCAAAATATACAATCTTATTGATTTTTTCGTAATACAAACTCTTTTTAAGTTAAAAAAAAAACATTATAATTAGAACTTTCAAGTTTCAGACTGTGACCACTCTCACAAGTACTTTTATTAATTCATTCAATACAAATAAAATTTAAAACAAGATATTCTTTTGTATATTCTTAAGATAAAGTTATGTATCCCTGTTGATTAAGTGTGAGGACAAGTCTAGAGAATGGGGAGGTCGTCATTAATCTATCCAGGAGGTTAGAGGCCAATTTCAGATGAGAACTAAAATAGATAATTATTTGGAAAAAGAAAACAAAAACTAAAATAGCCGCTTATACCATAAATTGATAATATTATCCTTTAAATTCTCTTTATTCAACCAACTAAATTTTTTTATTCCTCTGAAGCTAAAATTAGCCGAACCAGGAAGGAAGATATTACATGATCAGTAACAGGGTTACCACCTACAGACTGTTAAGACAACCTAAAACTCTTTATATTTATTTATAATTTAATTTTAAAGCCGGTTGACATTTAATTTATTTAGACCAAAGACCAAACCATAAATTAAAAAAAATTTCTAAACCAATAAAAGTTGAAGGTTACATTTTCCTCAATTATATTTATTTTTAATAAATGCCAAGCTCTGATATTTTAAAATACTTTTAAGACAAAAACTAATGCATTTCCCCCCCCCCCCCAAAAAAAAAATCATCATGGGAAATGTTAGCTTTCAGCTGGAAGGGGGGGGGTATTTTTCAAGAAAATATATATATATTCCTGATTTTGGTTGGCTAAGAATTGAAAGTTGTTTTATAAAAGCCTGCACGGTAAAAGTCCTATTCTATTACCTAATTAACAAAGCATCAATAGCCCCCCCCCCCCTCGGGGTAATTCTTAAAATCAGTCTTTTCCTGATCAAAACCTCACCTTCGTGTTTCTTTCCCCGCCTCAATCGCGTACAAGGACAACAGTCTTTCGGACATCGTCGGAGAACCGTCCTCTGTCCTTGGTTTAGGTCCTGCTGATCCGTCCTCCATCCTTGGTCTTGAGCCGGGTCCAATCCCACCGTCCGTCTCGGTCCTTGTACTAAGACGGTCTGGTGTATAAGTATCATATTCAGCCTAAACAAATGGAAGATATCTATCATATAATTTTTCATTTTCCAAGATGCTTAATTTGATTATAAAAGTAAAATTGACTCAGCAATAAAGCAAAAATCAAATAATTGTGTTTCTAGTCCTTTCTTGCTTTACAAGTACAGTATAGATAAATTCAGGGCACAAAAATGTACTATAATTTTTCTGATATATTTTTTATCTAGATTAAGAACGCAATTCGGTGAAAACCCAGATTCGCGATGGAACTCTTAAAGAACAGAAAATTTGAACACAAAATAATGGTTGAAAAGTTTAATAAAGATTTTAAAGATTGGGGACTTTAAGGGGAATGAACTTGTGCAAAAGGGTGGGAGGAGTTTTGTAAATAGAACGTTTGAAAATTACCTTAAGAAGGATTTCGTCTGCTTGTGCTAACAGCCCCTCCAGTCTTCCGCCACATTTCTCATCAGGGGGCGGGGGCGGGGTGTCGGGGGCGACTGCTCGGGGCGGGAGACAGCTCCCCGGATATGGGGGTTGGGGAGCTGCACCCCTTTGCGGTGACGAGCTCCCCAGCGAACTCCTATTCATGATGAAAACAGTAGCGACACATTAGTATATCAGAAAACCTGAAATATAGATTTAATAAGATTACTTTACTCTGACTGGATTCCCTACACCAATGAATTTTTTTAAGCAAATTATGTGTCATGTGTCTCAATTAAACATAGGTAACAAACATATTTGTGACCGTAGTACCCCCCCCCCCCCCCCCAACAATGT